ATGCTTTTGTTGTTCTTGAAAAGAAGAATTTTGAAGATTTTTTTCCTTTTATTCCTATATAAAATTTTGATCCCTTATTGTGGCCTGACCCTATCCTCGGAGGTCATTATTTGATAACTAGAAATATGTCTATAGGACATTTAAATGCCTCGCCGAATGTATATTACTAATGCAACATGAAAATTTGTATGAGTGTATGAAGTTTGATGAGAATATCTTGAACAGTTTCTTTAAACTTGAAACTAAAATCTAAAAAAAATGGATATAGATGATAAATTCTCACCAAATTATGTATAAGTGCATGCTTACATAAAAATATCTTAGATTGTTTATTTAAAACTAAGCAAAATACAAATTAAAGAGAAGGGAGGTCAAGGTCACAGGAAAGTGCAAGGTGAAAAGTTTTTGATGCAGTTGAATAACTCTCATTATTATACCTCTGTGAATTTTTTCTATATAAAAATATTACGAATAAACATGCTATTTTTTCCAAACAGCCCCTACCGTGGAATAGTTTTTGTGCTATTTGCCCATGGTGAAATAGTCATTAAACTATTCACCGGCAACATTCTGTTTCCTCGCTTTTCATCTCAGAACTCTTCTGGTTTTATACAGATTGTGACGTAACACAAGTAAAGACTGCTTCGGTATAATAAAACACTTATTTACTGACTATTCGGACAATAGCAAGTTTATCGTTCCCCTCGACAGCAACCATTTCCCTCGGCTGCTCCTCGGGAAATAGTTGCTGTCGTGGGGAACGATAAACTTGCTATTGTCCTCATAGCCAGTAAATAGGTGTATACTAATACATATCAGCATATTAGGTTTGATAAAAATATCTTGAATGATTTATTTAAAACTGAGCTTAACACTTATTTGAGAAAAGAGAGGTCAAGGTCAAAGGAAAGGTTGAGGTCAAAATGTTGATGCAGTTGAAAAGCTTACATCAGTATGTATTTACTATTAGCATATGAAGTTTGATAAAAATATCATAAATGGTTTATTTAAAACATAGATAAACACTATTTAAATCAAAAGTCTGCAAGGCTTCAATGATGTCAAACAAGAAAAACAAATTCAAAAGATCTTTTTGAATTTGAAGATAGCAATAAGTCAAGTGAGTGACTCAGTAGACATAATAAAAAAAATAGTTTTAAACAAAATATTACAATTACAGTCTGGGGCCTTATGTCATGGTATGAATGGAGCAGGGTTCGAATTGACCAGACACCGTCGAACATGTTCATGCTAAATTCTTTTCAGTCAATTGAAGAACTATGAAGGATTTCATGAATTTATATAACATTTTTTCTAATTGCCATGTCAAAGCGTTGTATTACTGATTGCATCTAAACTACAACCAAGACTCTGTTCTGTTACAATTACGATCGAGTTACGATCGGGCGTGGTATACGGTATAGTGGGAAATGGAGAAATATAGTAATACTGGTCAATATCATCAGTTTTTAGGATAGAGTTGGTTAGAAGATTGTATAAGTAAAGCTAAGATTTAGAAATTCAATCTTTTTAGTCTTGTAGTATTCGTGTTTATGTAATATTGTAATTATTTAACCCCCTGTTGTGTTGTTTATGTTACACGGTTATCGTTCCGAAATGTTATTCATGTCATTCAACGCACCCTTTCTGTAGAAATTCATCTGCAACAACCATCACATTTTTCTTGTGTTAGAATAAAACATAATATCGTTGTTTTGCAATAGAATTAATTGCAGATATAATTGATGCAATTTTATTTTCAAGCTATTATTCATTTTGAGCATTTTCAAAGAAATTGGTTTATAGTTATTGCTATTTTCTATTGTGAATACATCCACTGACACATTTGGTCGTGTACATTTGGTCGCAATTTCAACTGGGCGCTTGCTAGATGACGTTCGAGCTCCAAGAGCTCGACGTCATAAAAAGTGAGTCAAGGTCAAAGGAAAAGTCAAGGTAAAAAAAGTTGATGCAATTGATAGCTCTCAGCAGTATATATCAGCATATGAAGTTTGATAAATATATCTTGAATTGTTTATTCAAAACTCATCTAGACACTAATTTAAGAAAAGTGAGGTCAAGGTCAAAGGAAAGGTCAAGGTCAAAAAGGTTGCTTACATCAGTATGTATCAGCATATGACGTTTGATTGAAGTCGGACATGACAAATACTATATGCCTCGGCTATATTCATGGCAGGGCATAAAAAACTTGAATCTACACTATATGAGGATGTTTCCATATCAAAATGACTAACAAGCAAATTCAAAGAATTGTGGTCCCCTGCTTTCTGTGTCCTAGTGGATTGGATGCCATTATTTATGACATATTGTTTCAAATATGCACGCCCTATCATACGTCATTCAAAAGTAATCACCAAAGTTAAAATTTTTGAAAATTAGGTAAAACATCAAGGTCAAGGGGTAAAAAATCATAGCATGCTTGGAAACATATTGTTACATGTAATGTACATGTCAAATATGAAAGTCATTTCTCTTTTCAATCAAAAGTTATAAGGAAATATAACATTTTTGAAAAGTAGGTTAAACTTCAAGGTCAATGACACAGAGTCAAAAGTCATGATATATTTAAAAAGGTCTTGTCACAGGTAATATACATGTATAATATGAATGCCCTATCTTTCTCTTTCAAAATTAACAATTTAAAATAATGTTAAATTTTTTGAAAAGTAGGTCGAACTTCAAGGTCATGGGTTCAAAAATCATAGTATGTTTAGAAAGTTCTTGTAGGTAATGTACATGTGAAATATGAAAACCCTATCTCTTATTATTCAAAAGTTATGACCAAGGTTAAATTTATTGTGACAGACGGACAGACTGACAAACGGACAGACTGATAGACAAATGAGATTTAATGTCCCCTAGGTCCCTTTTGCGAAAACGGATGACAATAATGCTTTTGCTGTTCTTGAGAAGAAGATTTACGATGGAAAAAATCCCCTGCATTTTTCTATGTAAATCATTGGACCCCCATATGTGGCCCCACCCTACCCCAGTGGGTCATAATTTGAACAAATTTGAATCTACACTAAATCTATGTAAAGAAAATTTCAACTTTTTGGGCCCAGTCAGTGGTTCTTGATAAGACTTTTTTAAATGATACCACCAAATTTTCACTAATTCTTGATTATCCCCCCTTGAAAGAGGGTGTGACCCTTCAATTGAACAAACTTGAATCCCCTTTACCCGAAGATGCTTTGTGGCAGGGTTGGTTGAAATTGGCCCAGCGGTTTTTGTGAAGAAGACAAAAATGTGAAAAGTTTACAGGAGGACAGATGGATGACAGACAAAATGTGATCAGAAAACCAGAAAAACTCAAGTGAGCTAAAAACTTATGATCACAAGTACTTGGAAAGAGTTACAGTATTTGAAAAGCAGTTTTTTTTTCATGCATTGTTTTCAGAAACTGAAAAGGTATGACTTGTATCCATGTTGAAAAAACAGCACATTTCAGAAAATAGTTTGATTAAAAATAGTTAATCAAGGTGCTTTGAGTAGCAAAATAAGCTAAACTGGTATAGCTAATTCAACCACAGAGCTTTGTCAATTTTAAAATGCACAACCTTTTCAACTCTTAATCATTCTTAAAATATTTATATCATCATTTCTGATTCAAGGGAGAACTAGAGATATGACCAGAAGTATATCTGTTGACTAATAAACATGTACATGTATATTGTGTTTTTTAAGTCATTTGTTCGTTTGTTGTTAAATGTCCCTCTCGGGAATTTTTCACTCATATGGAGACACCGCCACTTAAAAATAATGAAGACGTACAAGTCGGATTTGAGGTTAACATTCATTTTAGGAGTTTTCAACAATTAAGACATGAAGAGATAACTCCTTCCCCTCGCCCCTTCCCCTTCCCAGACCCCTGTTTGTTCATGTATGTTTTTTAAGTCATTTGTTTAAGTTGCTGTTGATATCCTATATTTATTTATTTATTTCAACACTAAGGAGCAGACAGGATTATTTAATAGAATTAATGCATTTTCACTATATTATCAAAAGAGTTCCACCCTTACACCCTGGGGCCATGAAACTCACAATTCTGGAAGAAGCACTCTTGCTTATCATAACTAAACACTTAGTTTCTTTGCTTTATAACCAGAAGCAGAAAAGAACATTTTCAAAGAAATTATGCTTTTTCACCAGAACCCCCAACTCTTGGGCCATTAGTTGCACTTAGTTTGTTTAAATTATACCCAGGAGCAAAGAACAAGATTTTCAAAGAGTTAATGCATTTTCACAATATAATCAACAGAGCCCCGCCCTAACACCAGAATCCAGGGGCCATGAAATTCACAAATTTGGAAGAGGCATCCTTGCTCATTCATAACTAACTATGTACTTAGTTAGTTTGATTAATACCCAGGAGAAGAGGATTTTCAAAAAAAAAATCATGCACTTTCAATGTATGATTGATCTATATAGCCCCATCCTACATGTAGCACCAGACCCCCTGACCCTGGGGCCATGATTTCACAATCTTGGTAGAGGGCTTAATGCTCATCACAATTATGCCAACAATTTGTCTGCTTGATGTCCAGGAATAAAGAAGAAGATTTTTAAAGATAGCACTAATTTTGATGGTTTTGATTGGTTGAAATTGGTTCAGCGGTTCAAGAGAAAAAGCTGAAAGTGTTCAAAAGTTTATGACCAACACAAGACGCACAATGGACGACAGACAAAAATGATAGCAATAGGTCACCTGAGTGATTCAGGTGACCTAAAAATTGAATAGCATGATACTGCACTAAGACATAGAAATATAGCTGGCAGTCTTGTGTCACATTTAAACCAATGAAAGTATGAAAAATCAGTTTGAGAGAAGAGAATATTTTAAGGTACAGGCAAATTCTTGGGATGCCCTGATGACAAAATTGAAAACAATAACTGAGATACTGGAAATAAGAACCAGTCTCAATCAGAAATCTTTTCATGACCTAGGAGATCTAACAAGAAAATTTAACTTTATTTACCTCATACTTCTTTTAACTTCTTTGTACCAGTATTTTTCAAAATATGGTACAACTGCTCGACATGTATCTTCATAATTCAGATACCACAAGTCTTCTAAAACCAGGGCATCTTTATATCCTTTAATCACCATTCTGAAAAAAAATTCAATACTTTGTATTCATTGCATCATAAAAAAGTTTAAGCACTTCTTTTCTATATCTAAGTTGGTTTGAAAATGTCTAAATGAGAAAATTTGTAAAACAAGAGGCCAATGGGCCAAAAATAATGCTCAGCAAAGTCACTATGGCCTACTTCTTCTTCATTGGCAGATTTTCCCCCCCTATATATTCCTATATAAAACTTTGATTGCCTATTGTTGCCCACCTCCCCCAAGGTCAGGATTTGAACAAACTTGAATCTACACTACCTGAGGATGAAACCATATTAATTTGACTTAATAATGCCTTGGTTTATTTTTGAGAGGATTTTTAAGATTTCTCCTATATATTCAAATGTAATTTTTTTTATTGTTTATTGTGGTGCCAACCATTCTTCAGGGTCAAGATTTTAACAGACTTGAATCTACTCTACCTGAGGATCCTTTCACATCAATAAAAATAATCATAGCTTTGCTGTTCTTGAGAAGAGGATTTATTAAGTTCCTTTCTGCCATATTTTATGGAGGACAGGTTGATACTTTTTTCTCAAAACCATTGAGGTCGCCCAATGCAAAGAATCAACCTTTCTAAGATACAACTTTACAAAGACTAGACTTGTTGACATATTCCTATTTACTCTATGGGAAGCATATCCCTTACAGAAAAAAAAACAATAGAAACTTATAAGTGGTTTATAAACCACTTATAAGTGACTGACAAGTAATAGCTTTTCAAAAAGCTTGCCTGACTAATCAATCAATATCTATGGAACGTATAAGCAAGATAGGTGCTAAACGTTTCCGTCATCAAGGAACGACATAGTTGCAATACTTCATTACACAAGATGTACAACTGACTTTCTAAAATGTCATAACCAAATGCTACAGATTAATGAATATCTAAGACAAGCCACTATTTGGTCATTTATTAGTTAGCCCACAGGCTGACTAGTTATTTTGGGATGAAACTGCAAATGCACTAGTATACAGTTATGGAATGGGTATGCGGGAAATAGCAAAATTTATGGTTCTCCAAGGGAGGAAACTATTTCCCAAGGCAGCAAATCTGCCAAGAGAAATAGTTTCCTGCCAAGGGGAACAATAAATTTGATATTTCTAGAGTACCAATTCCATAACTGTTTTAATATACTGTAACAATCATGGGAGATTTATTAAACTAGAGACTCAGACATTTTTTGAAACAATACAGAGGCATATAAATAGTCACAAATGCATGTGATTAAAAATATTGTAAGATAACTAATGCATTAATACCGAGGAAAATAAAATTATTAAAAAATATAAAATAATTTCACTGACACTTTGAAGGATTATCGTTGTCTTCATTTTGTTAAAATTCCAGTATGTTTTTGACATCGCATGTCGAAATGTTTTGACGTCATAGTTACATTGCTAATAACATTACATCACAGACTCGAGATTTCTTGAATGCTCCACCCACCGTTCATTTTCATTGGTTAAAATTATAAATAAATATTCATGAGGGAGTAGTCCCAGGGAGTAGCTCCAATTTTTCAGGGAGTAGTCCTCAGATGAGGGAAGTAGTATCTTTTCAGGGAAATAGCAGGGGTGTGCAATTACAAAAATTAAGCACTAGCCCATGGGCTAGTGGCAGCAATAAAGTTACTAGCCCCAAGTAAAAAGTTACTAGCCAAAATGTAGGGGGAGTTGTAAACAACCAATATTTTAAAAAAATAGTTTATTGTTGAAAAAGTCAGAGTTTTACTGTCATTCTTTTTGAAATTAAAGTTTAATTTTCACAAATATATTTCATGTAAACCACATAACATTTAATACCTTTCATTTGAAAAAACGGATGGGCAATATCTTTTGAAATCGTGTTAAATGATGAAGCTATTCTTCCCAAATAAATTGATATATGACATATGTACAATTTTAAAAAAATACAAACCTTACCTTAACAGTCACCAGAGTATAATACAACAATTTAGAGGATCCATAGAAGTATAAAAATAAACTGATAGATGAAGCTTTGTTGCCCAAAAGTAAGAGAAACAGGATGATCAGGATCAATGAAATAATTAGTCTGGTACTTGGTAACAAATAATAACAGTGATTTTTTTTTTTTAACCACCACCCCCTCCTTTTGAATTGGGAAAAATTAGCGACATTTTCCTCAATTTGGGAAAAATCATTTATAGTAAATTAGAATGCTAAAAAATACATCAAATAATCAAACTAAGTAACAACAACAGATTTTGTTTGATTTTAACTTTGAATTTGATTTAAATTCATAAAATAATCATTTGAAAAAATTAACATCAATATTTTATTGAATGTGAACATGGCTTATATTAGTCACATCTTGTAGCTTCTATTTTCTTGGAATTGCTTTATCTAATTTCATAAAAAAAAAAATAACCAGCATTTAGACTCATAATCTAGTAATCTGTCTTATATTAATAATCAAGTTTATTGTCTTTACCGTTTGTTTTTTCCCCGATTTTAGTGAAACCTTATGTGTTGTCCATTTCCTGTTATTAGCCTGACCAACTATGTAATAATGGCGGTCAAACGAAAATCATTATGTCAACATGCAACATGACTTGTATCTGGGAACTATTTACCAATTCATAGAGAATATTATAAGCTACTTATCTGCTTATATACCTGGTAGATATCTGCATTATTTTACACATTCTTTAAAAAATCGGCTGCATTTGCATGGACTTGAAGAATAAAAACGTATTTACTCTGTCAGCAAATTTAATAAATTTTGTTCAAAATTAAAACATAATTTTCGTATGTTTGAAATAGGGGAAAATATACTAATATTTGGGGAAAAATAGCTAATCTTTGTGAGGGGAAACAGCTGAATATCGGTGGCATTTTGACCCCCCAAAAATCACTGAATAATGTTAATTCTGCTTGTCCCAATTTATCACTATCAGCATTCACACCATTAAATAAATATTAGAACTTCAGTACAGTAACTTTTTACCTCTCACATTGACGTAGCTCTCTTGGTCTCTAAAGAACATTTAATAGTTAATTTTTGTCTCGTTTTCGTTTATCTATTATTTACAAGTCTATACCTAATCATTAAAACTATGGAAGTACTTTTTGTATTATTATATACTTCTGTTAAAATGTTTCCTATATAAAGTTAAGAAGGTAAAATAACTATCTTTTATAGTCTGAAAATTTCCACGCAAAGCAAAGCTATACCCCGGGGTATAGTTTGTGCTATCCACCCCTCGGAAAATTTTCATGCAATTTTTGCCGCCAATTTTGATTTCCTATAATCAGTCTATAGACTGATGATGTCGTCCTGACTTCAGTAGCATTGTGACGTCATCAAGATTTCAGCTCATTCTAGCAGTGTTACCTTATTCCAAATACTTGTCCAAAGCTATTATAATAATTCTTTTCATGTTTTGCCTATGAAGCTGTAGTATCAGGTAAAACAAACCCTCAGAAATTATGATATACATCAGTATAATAAAACGCTTATCCACTGGTTGTGAGTGGGATAGCTCTTTCATCAAACCCTTGACAGGAACTATTCCCCTCGGGCAAGCCCTCGGGGAATAGTTCCTGTCGCGGGTTTGATAAAAGAGCTATCCCACTCACAACCAGTGGATAAGTGTATATTATATAATAAAATTTCTTGCAATAAATCTCTTATTTTTTTAAAAATGCCATTAACTTTATGCTATTTCATAATTATCTCCTCTTTGAAGAAGATGTGGCCCTTCATTTATAAAAATTTGAATCCCTTTACTCAAGGATACTTTGTGGCAAGTTTGGCTGAAATTGGCTTAGTGCTTCTTCAGAAGTTAAAAATGTGAAAAGTTTGCAAAAAGAGAGATGGACTGACAGAAGGATGCTGGACAAAAAGTGATCAGAAAAGCTCACTTGAGCCTTTGCCTCAGGTGACCCAATAAAATCTCACCTGGTAAACCACCAAAATGTTATCTTGGATAAGAAAGATGCCATCTCTTCTGGGCTTTTTCTCTACAATTTTAATCAAATCATTATTGTATCGAGCATGAAGCATATTCAATTTATCAATTTTTAAGGTAAAGCAAATCTCCATAATTACATTTCAAAATACCTCAGAATTTTACTATTTACCGTATTTGGCCGAATATAATACGCATTGGTGTAAAATACGCACCCCCCTTTTTGAGCCTGAAACTGGGGGTTTCAGTTCGGTTGTATTATACGCAGCAGAAAATTTTACCAAGCGGTGTTCTGAACTTTTGAAAATTGCGGTAATTTGCTATGAAAATCGGCGTGGAGATAAAGTGCCGAAAATTTACAGAACACGATATTTTATTCAAATGCGTTTTTATTTCTTAATCTTGACTTTCCATATTGCGGCAATCTGGAGGAAATTATTTATTTTAACAAAGCACGAGATAATGTTGCATTAAAGTATTAACAGAGTTTATTATTAATTTTTTTAGCATACGGTGATGTTGAAATTATACGTCGCCGTATACTAACTATTCTTTGTGGAAATAATTTTATTTCAACAAAGCACGAGATAATTGTTGCAAGTTTAACAGTTATCATATTTATTTTTAGTTTAAGGTAATCATATTGAAAATTATGTATATTTAACAGGGCAAGCGATATTTCATCATCAAAGTATTCATAGACTACGATTTCCTCTTTTGAACTTGAAATTAATTAATTAAATAAAAGCTGATGTTATAAAAATAAAATCAAAATTTAACAAGCGTGTAAAGTGTTGTTATCAACACACCTCCAATGCTGTGAAAAATGATGTACAATGGTGGGATATATGTCTTCATGCATCGAGGTAATCTTCGTGGATATCTTATTTTCTACAGAGCACGAGTAAATGATAACACTTAAGTTTCAACATACTTCATATTTCCTTTTTTGACTCTCAATCATTTTAACACGAGGCCGATAAAAGATAAAGTGAAATTAAATTTAACAAGCGTTTAACTGTGTCACATTAAAATCATCCTATCATACTTTTGGTAATGTATTTTAAATTTCATGTAAATATCCCGTGGGGAACCCCTTCGTTTTAAATGTGTTATTACTGTACATATCCTTCACTGAACCTCAGTTCACTGGACCTTAAAACCTGCCAGTCCGTGCAAGTTTTTTTGGACACGGCAGTCCAGAGAGGAGGACGCTTTTACCCCTCTCAGATATGTTTTGTAACTTTTGTAACCAGCATTGATAGTTACACCGAGTACCAGTTGTTTTCCAGGGCTTACTTTGTATTTTTTTTGTGTGCAATGGTCCAGCTTTTCTGAGGTTCCATCCATCCATAGTAAATGTAGAGACTGTATGGAGAGGCCACCAGGTGCCTTCAGTGTGTCCGCCCTCCCATAATGATGTGTAATAGAGAGGCCCTAGAGATCTTCCTCTAGCCGGTGGAGTGGAAGGCGCGGAAGGACAAAAACCCATTATAGGACAAACAACGGATATTGTATATTTGTACATTTATTGTAATTAAATATGTAAATTATCTGGACAAAAGCATTTGAGTTATATTTAAATTTAGTAAAGAAGTAAATCCGCTCGACTATCTGTGACAAACTGTTTAATGTGTCGTAATCAACACACGCTTTTACATACGAAAGATCAGAAACCAACCCCCGATTTTTAACAAAGAAATTAATCAAAGCCATTAATAAGGGCATTAAATAATCAGTGCTCTAACTGTAAAAACAATGATTTGGAGTCGGTAAACAATTGAATTGCCTGGAGGGGTGTTGAGGGATAATTATCAAGTGTCAAGCGCATGTGTTCACAACATTGGCTTCCATTCATTGGGACGTATAGAGGGGTGTTTATGTTGAAATGAATTTTCACTGAGTTATTTAAAACATAAAATAAATTTTATTGTATTGTATTTTATTAAAAAATGACATTACTTTTTTGACCGAGTGTCTGACTGATTAGGTACATGTGTACTATGATTACGGAAGCACGTGGCAAAGGAATGTGTGAACATCTATAAATAACATCGTTAATGGCGGCCTACACGCAGACGATGAACATGCAGCTCAAATTAATTTTAACTTGCTTTTAAATTTAATTTAACTATCAAAAGGTTATAAATATAACTTTTTTAACAAGCCTACATTCCAACAATAACTTTCCAAAGTTTTAAATACGGCGATAAACAGCAAGAAATCTCTAAGTCTGCCTAAGTCTCTAGGTAATACTACGGTATGCGCGAATGATAGCCGTGTTTCACATGAAAGAAAAACCTATCAAAATCCCATTGTGGTGTAAAATACGCACCCCTTTCTCACAGAAAATTATTTTGGGAAAAAAGTGCGTATTATATTCAGCCAAATACGGTACAGTAAAATTCGTCTAATCCTGATTCTGAGTACTCCGGAATTTTGTCCATTTTGGCTTTAAATTTTAGTCCCATGCACTTCCTTAACAAATTTATAATAAAAAATTCCATGTAGTCCGGATACTGTCTATTCTGTATTCCAAACAGCCATATTGGTCCCAACTGCTCAAAATTAACAATAATTATTTCCTCCAATTCGACCACATAATATTACCTGAATCACTTCAATGCAATTAACACTTTCGTAGTAGATGTGCCAACATGTGTTTACTTAAGTGCCATGAGACGACCTAAAACCCGGCGGCAACAGAGCCCATTTGAAAAAATATAAGGTTTAGTTACAATTAATTTTTTTTAAATACTTACACATTTTACTTGCTTTCAACTCCATATCACAACATATAACAAGAATGACAATATAATAAGTACACAACTTACAAATCAAAATATAAATCGGAATCGAAAAATGGTGCCATAATATATGAAGGGAAGATGTAATTTGTATGTAAAAATTAAAATGTCAATTCAATAATTATGAAATCGTAAATAATGGTTTTTATGGTTATGTTGAACACACCTTTAAATTTGCTAAACCCTCGCTTGATATATATGTAAAGTCTCTGTATATTTTGTCCAATCTGGCCAATTTTTATGGAACCAATGGAAGCCGGTTTGGACAAATTATACTGTATATACATCATTTGCTATACATGCAAATATAGTTTCCTCAAATTAGAGAGTTGAGAAACAAATTTTTCTAATAATCCTTTAACTTAGGTCACAGGATGCAGAACTTTTAAAATTTTCTGAAAACATACCATCAAAATTAGTTAAATGAATCCTGAGCTTTTGTTTTACATTCTCTGAAAGTTTTATAAAATTCATCTGCATCGTTTATGTGTATATAATTAAATCCAAAACCTGCCATTGATGTTGTAACATTTTTGATGTTATTCTATTGAATTCTATTGGGAAAATGTCATTTTTGACTCATTTTCAGGCAAGATTTTGTTTCCAAAAATATCATTAACTTTTAAATGGTGCAGATGAAATGTTTCCCCTTAGGTCATTTTTAAGAAATCTATATAAAAAATTAACATGTCTTTGGGTTAGTTTTCTCATTAATAATTAAAAGGACAATTGCTTAAATATTGCAAAATGTACAATATACTTTTAAGAATGCAGATGCTGTAAACAATAATTTTGTGACAACATGCTTGATTTCATGAACATTAGTCCAGTATACATTGCAGAAAAAACAAAATAAAGTGCACTGCAGCCACAGCGAATAATATGCCCGTCAAACATTGTTAAATTATCATAAACAGTTTAAAGTGCAAGTAGGAAATATTAAAATCATGTCACCCTTGATACAAAGATGTCAATGATTTTTCCATTCCTTATTATGCTTGTTGTGTAGTTTTAAACTACAGTCCCTGAAACGTTCTACTTTCCCACTTGAACGGTGAGTGAATGCTATGTTTTCTGCACATATATATGATGTTTAAATTCAGCTGTTTAATCACACAATGTTTAAATTCAGCTGTTTAATCACACGATTTTTATCGCTGTAAAACATTGTAATTGTTACCGAACGCTGTAGTTTAAAAGATTAAATTATTCTAGTTGTAAAATAAATATGTTTATTCTTATTTGATATATAAAACCATTACAAATAATGACTTTCGAAGAAGATATTACTAACTTATAGAATGAAGTGCAATGGTTGTAACAAAAATGTATTTCCGTGTCAAGGCGATTCCGTGTAAAATAATGAGAATGAAAATAAAAATATTTTGCAAGGGTCTGTGGAAGTATTGCATAAATACTTTCATATTTTTTAAAAATTTAATGCAATAATATATATTCATGTGTCTTTTCATTTTTTAATGATGATTCATTAAGCAGACTTCTACACATATCTGTAGACAATTCCCCATGATTAGATACAATGAAGCATTCATATTATTTGTTATAGATTAAAATTTCAGAACTTGATATTTAAGTAATATGCTGTCATAGTTTTGATTAAATGGACAAATAAGAGAGAGAGAGAGAGATTTCCATTTTAGCCCTCCCCCCCCCCCCTTTTCCACAAATGCATGTATACCTGTATAAACAAAAATTCCTAATTTTTATCTAAATATATCAGGCAGTGAAATTAACCCCCTTTTTTTAATCAACAAATTCATTTTGTTTGACAGTCATAATCGCTTTTTTTCCTGCTTCAAGTTCACACGAAGTCCACGTGCTTGTCCTGTCAATCAAAATCATTTGACACTGTGCAGGTGTGAAAGTATGACCGCTGCTCGGGGAGGGTAGGGGTCCACCCGGAATAAGTAGTGCACCCTACAACACTTGGTCACGCAGTAACCATAAGACTTGGTTACTGTCCTTGACATAAAACCTTCAAGGATTAAGACATAAGTAGAAATGTCTTTTCCAGTCTTTATTACAGGAATCTGTACATTATATATACACATCTAAGACTGGGTCTGCTAGCTGCATGCCCTAACTCAAGCTAACTCTCTTTATCACTCACTATGACTAACTGTCCTCTGTCTACTCTCTCTAAACTACTATTCTTTTCTCAATATATATTTTGTTTTAGAGTAAATCTAGTAATTATTTGATTTACTCAATTTGGCTTTTCAAT